AATATTGGACTCCAGTCCCTTCTAGCTTGTAGTGCTTCTATCTATAGGCCTGCTACTATTTGACTGGTTTCCCAGCAGGTAGTCTAACCTTTCTCTCTTGATGCCTTTAGGATTTTTTCTTTTGTGCCTACTTTGTGTAGGCAAATTACTATGTGTCTAGGGGTTGATTTTCTCATTTGATGTCTTGTGGGGGTTTGCTGTATTTGGGTGGTCACATCTCTGGTGCAATGGGGAAAGTTTTCTTGAATAACCTCCCAGAATACTTGCTCCAAGGTTTTCTCCATTTCCCTTTCATCTTCTGGGACACCAATCAGTCATAGGTTTTGGCCTCCTGATATAATCACACATCTCTTGTAGGCTTTGTTCTTTCTTTCTGAATTTTTTATTCTATGTTTTTTACAGATCAGGTTAATTCTATGCTCTGGTCTTCAAGTTCTGAGATTCTTTCTTCTGCTGGATTAATTCTGCTTTCCATGCTTTTCATCTTGTTATTTATTTCCTGCATGAAATTTGTTATGGCCAAAATCTCTGTTACAAGATCTTTCAGTGTTATACCTTGTTTTTCTTGAGTCTTATTTACTCTTTCCATCCATTCCCTAATCCTCTTGTATTCTGGGGCCAGTCATTGGTGGCTCCCACTGTTTGGCCTCTGAGGTCTTATTTTTCAGGCATTTTCTCTTTGTTACAGTGGAAATTACCTGTGGTCTTCCATTAGTTTTTCCTCATTTGTGACAGATCTCTCTTTTTTTCCTCTTTACTCCATTATTTAGTGGCCGTGAGAGAAGCTATCACTTCTGGTGTTTGCTCAACCCTCTATTCTTCCCTGATCTGGGCTCTGGATCTATCTTTGTTCTAATCTGAAACAGGGCTGAGGGTGGGAAGCTTTGGTGTCTCTTGTAATTTTGAGAGTCGAATAAGGTAGAGGATGAGGAACTAGGATTCAGAAACTACTTGCAAATCACAATGTTCACTGATTGTGGTATTGGTTCCCTGAGATCCATTCCCATCACTACTCTATATGATGATGCAATGGGTGCGTGTGTATACCCCCTGAGTCCAAGATACAGTAACAGCAATGAGGAGAACAGAGAAAAGTAGAATGAAATAAGATGACAAAAAAAAGCACAATTAAAGCCAAAGCAAAAAACAACTGAACACACACCCAGATACACCCACCCACCAAAACAAACTGGAATAACAGCAAAGCAAAACAAAACAAACAACAACAAAAAACAAACAGGAAAACCAAACACACACACATGCTCACCACAAATGAATGGAGAAGAAAAAGAGAAAGAAAGAAAAAAAATAGGAATTCAGACATATATTCACACATACATTAAACTAAAAAAAAGAATAAAAGAGAAAAAATGAACAAAGAAACAAAAACCTGAAAGATGAACACTCAATCATTCACAAACACACATAAATAGAAAACAAAAAAAAGAAAGTAAAAGGGGGGTGTAGATTGAACTCTCACATACATATTCATGCACAAAGAAAAATATAAAAAATTAGAAAATATAACAGACAAAAAATTTTTAAAAATAAAAAAACCCTGCATTTGGTGGCAGATTCTGTAATTGTTCCTCTCATTGGCTACTCTGCTATCTCTTGCAGAGTTTTGACCTCATTCCCTTTCTCCCCAGGGTCTGAACCAGGGAAAGAGGAGGGGGCAGTGGGAGTGAGCGGGGATGCAGTCCTCCCCTCTCCCTCTTGTATGGTCAATGGGATCTCCTCCAGTGGGGAGGTGTGGGATTGTCTCTTCTCCAGGTACTTATGGAGGGTGCCTCAGCCAGGCCTATTCTGGAGTGGAGTCTTCCTACTGAGACTGATATCCAGGCTCCACCTGGATTTGGTCCTCTCAGCCATGCCCCAGCCATATGAGTCTGACATTCAGAGGACTGCTGGGGAGGAGGGGGGGGTGGATCAGCCCTGAACTCACCACTGATCTCTTTGGAGGTCTACCTCATCCTTTTCTAGCCACACCCTTTGTCTGATGGCTGAATCAGCACAGCAGGTGGGGCACCTGAGACTCAGTACTCGTCTTGTGCCTCTGGAGTTTGTGCTTTCAAGATATTCCCTTTGGGACACAACCAACCCCTGACTAGTTGATCTGCTGGTCATAGAGATCAAGTCTGCTGCTCCATGGTGAGCAACCTGTCTCATTTTCAAGATGGTGGCAGGGTATCTATTTGATTTTCTCCAGTGGGGTTCTGCCTCTGGGCTTACCCTGAAGCCCTTGCTGCCAATGTTTGACCTGAAGCTGCATTGGTGAAGCAGAGCCTGGAGCCAGTAGTCTCTCCTTGCAGCATCTTCCTAGGAAGACATTTATCACTTTAAAAAATGGCACTTGGCTTCTGCGACCCAGGAAGCACTAGGAACCAAGCAGAGCAACTGCAGCACCAGCTGCTGCACCAATAGAACCCTGGCCACTTGCTCACAAGCCCCCACTTAGTCTGTCTCTCCCAGCAGCTTCTTCTCAGGAAGGGTTTTGTTGATTAAAAAAAGAAGGAAAAAAATGGCACTTGGTTTCTGCATCCCAGAAATCACTAGGGTTCAAGCCAAGCAGCTGTGGCATCAGCTGCTTCACCAGGAAAGCCCTAGCCACTTGCTCCTGAGCCCTCACTTAGTCAAACACTCACACTCCCACTTACTCACTGACATATACACAAAATTTTTCATAACTCACTCACACTGGGACTCACATAATCTGACTGCCTTGGCCACCACCTTCCTGTCCAATTCCAATTTTATTTTTCAAAGTACTTCTTACCCTTTCAAAATGTTATACTTTCAATTATGGTCCATTTATATTTTCAAGGGGTTGTATTTCAGTAACTTTAGAACTATGCTTCTTCAAGCAAATTTGTCTTCAGTTTTCAAAATTCCAGCTGCTTTAAGTGAAACCTAAGCCCCTCATGTGGAGTGCCATCAAATTGCATGAACAATAAATAGTACAGTGGGGCAGTGGGTCAAAAGGCTGGGAGATGAGTTTGTAGAAGGTGGTAGATGGTCATGTGAAGTAGGTCACAGATTCTGGAGTGTCAATGTGCTGGGGAAGTTCATAGTATACCTGACCAGGACTTGAGAGGAAATAGTATTTGTTGCCCTAATGAGGGAAGTGGTTCTCGAAATCTTAAAACCCCTTTACATTCAAGATTAGTGAGGGCACCATGCTGTGTATATTTGGATTACGTATGCTAATATTCACTTCATTCAAAATAAAAATTGAGTCATTTGTAAAATATTTTTAAATATTTATTTTGAATTTATAAAAAATATTCACTATATGTTAACATAAATAATACATTTTTTATGACAATAACTCCGTTTTTCAAAGCATGAAAAATCAGTAAGAAGAATTGCATTATTATACATTTTGCAAATCTATTTAATGTATGGCTTAAAAAAGCAGCTGGATTCTTTTTTTTTTCTTTGTGGGATACAATTCACTGTTAGTTATACAAATGTTCCTTGTGCAAGTAACCTTGTTGATGAGGCTCTCCCCTCCCTCCGGCCTGGCAGTTTCCCACTAAGTAGCTAGATTCTTATATCTGTTTCTATATTCATCTATTACAACATCACACAGCATAGAGTTTCTGAAAAATGCCACTGTATACTAATGAGAGAGAAAGAAAAAACCCAAATAACAATTAGGATTGCTATGAAAATAGATTTGAATGTGCATGGCCTGAAAGAGTTTTGTAGGTTCCCATGGACCCCTGAACTAAAATGTGAGAATTCTGTCCTAAGCTAAACCTCCAATAGAACCCAACAGGCTAGATTTGATAGTGACCATGGGTCTACTCATGGGGGGAGGGGGATCTAAGAAAGCAATAGGTCAAGGATAAATGGTGAATTTATCCTTAACATGAAAGACCAAGAACGTGCTGAAAGCTCTAACAAAATAAGGAAGAGTCTGGACAGTGAAGTCATGAGGGAAAAGTTGATAGATAAAAGAAAAAGAAAACAAGTTTATGAACTCTGATTCCAGGGCAGAGACTGTCTTCCTGATCACAATCTTTACATTCTCATCTCTGTCTGACTGATTTCTGATTTATACTAGAGTGAGAGCCAGTAATTGGTGGTAACAGCAAGAAACTAAAACTATCTCATAATTAAGATTAGTTCTAATTTTTGGAAGTACTTTAGTGACCATAAACAGCAGTACTTATTAAATCTGTAGTAAGAGTATCGGAAGTGCCTCTGGAAATGATAATTGCAAAGCTTGGAAACTTTTGTATTCGAGGATAGTAAAACTAACATACAATATTTTTAACTTAATTATTTCAGTGTCTAAAGCCAAGCTATATGTAAAATCTTCAATGGTTGCAATTTCTATATTTATAGTTATAGACAGAATCTCTTCAGAAGCAATACTTTCACTATGTGTAGTAGCAAATGACTATATTGGGAGCCATGGCACTTGAAAAGGGCCATGGAAAAATAAAGTGCTAGTCTTAGCATTACTAATTAAGTTCTCTTACTGTGATATTAATAACTGTCATTATAGAGGTCATTTGAGTGCTAGGAGTATCACCAGTGCTCTTGGTTATGGTATTATGTCTTATAATCCAAGAAACAAGTTGTGCTATTTCAATAACTACAACCAAAGCAGTAGTATTTACAGAGCCCAATGTGGTGTTATCTGTTATACCAAAATTAACTGTAGGGTCTGTAGCAAGGATGTACAAAATATCTGTAGTTTAATTGATGGGGTTATAGGAATAATAACTCTAATGTAAAAGAACAGCAGTACACATTCTGGCTGCAGGATAAGTATTCACAGCTTCCTTGGTTATAAAGTTTGTAGTGGATACATCCTTAAACATATCTTCAATGGCTACAGTGCTTGAATTAGCTCTATCTGTTATGACTAGAGCGCTAATACTTGTGAAAACTTGGGTAGCATAAGAGAATCTATTAACTGATTTTCTATATCCACAATGTTTGTCTCAAAGAGTTATTTGAGGTAATTATCCTGCTTTGAGTAGTAATCATGGAACTAGAGTAGCATTTATGGCATTTGCAATATTGGTAGATGCAGTAGCATCTATATCTATTGTTGTTCTATCAGAAGCGGTAGTATTTAAAGCATCTGCAGTAATATTTGTAATATCTGTAGTAGCACTGGTTGCAGAAATAGGAAAATAACTAGTCATAGAATTTGTTGTTACTATATGGTGAGTTTCTGCATCTAGGCCAGCAGTTGTTATTGTGTCTGAGACTACTGTGACATTTGGAATAGAAATGTGAGTAGTATTACCTATAACACTGCTAGAAGTATCCACATCAGTAATATTTACTTCATGTCCTGTACTTTTTATAGTATTGGTGGTGGGAACAGCTGTGGTACTTGGAATGTAAGTGTTTGTAAGGATTGTAACAGAAGTAGTCAATGAATTTGTAGTTTCTGTGTTGAAAATAGATGCAGCTATAGTGGTAGTATATGCTGTAATGGCATTCCCAGTAACTTTAGTAGTATATGTAATATCTGCAGCATTTGTTTGTGAGGAAGTAGTAAAGTCTTGAGTACTAGCAATTATGGTATCTGGAGTAGTAGAAAAAGTATTCACAGTAAGAACGGGTATAGAGCTAACATCAACAATAGTTGAACTGTCCTTAGTGGGAATACCTATAGTATCTGTAGCACTTGGCATTATACTGGTCATATGTGCATTGATGATAGTTGGTCCACTGGTATCTCTAGTGCCTGTGGAGGTGCTACTTAAAGCATGAGTAAGAGCATCTGCAGGATAAGTAGTGGTAATGTTTTTGGTAAGTGGAGTTGGAGATACATTTTCTGTGGCTGTGGCACCAGGGGTGCCTATAAGAGGTGGAGATGAAACGACTTGAGTGGTAGTGTCCATAGAAGTAGCATTTGTAATCACAGTAACTGTGGTGACTCCTGTGGCTATAATTGTGTTTCCTGCTGTAGTAATATGAACACTGTTTGTGCTAACTGAATTCATATTTGTGGCTGTGGTGCTTGCAGTAGTAGTGTCAGTAGTGTCTGGATTAGGAAAACTTGTAGGAATTAATGTTGTCCTATTTAAGGCTGGTATTGTAGTAGTAGCAGCAGAATAAAGAGTGGTGAACTGTGTGTTGTGTGTAATGGCAGTTTTGACATCTGTAGTAGTAGAGGGAAAGGAAATAAAGTTTTGTGTAGTAGACAGTAATGTGTCTGTAGCAGTTGCTATAGCAAAGGGAGTATCTGTGGAGCTAAACATACTAGTAGTTGTGCTGTCTGTAGTAAGGGTATTTGTTGAATTTGTTATGATGGAAGAGGCTTCATGGCTTGGATTAGCAGAAGTTAACACTGTGGTATTAATAGTGGTAAGAGAGGTCACAGTTGTCCTTTCTGGTGAGACAGTATTCATAAAATCTGTTATAAGAGGTTTGGAATGTGCAGTAAATGTGTCTGTTGAATTAACTGTTGTACTTGGACTTATGGTATTATCTTTGGTGCTAGTTATAACTGTAGCATCTATTATCATGGTACTTTTTGTATCGAGATTGTTGGAATTAGTGGTGTTTATATTAGTAGGGGTAGTATAATTAGTAATTATACCAGTAGTGAATGTACTGTTTGTTGGAAACATACTCAAAATAGGAGTAGTAGAGTTAGGGATAGCAGTAAGAGTAGGGGTAGGGGTCGTAGAAAGAGTTTGGTAATAAGTGGTCATGGCAGGAATAGTACTACTTGTACTAATAGCATCAGTATTTGCAGAAGTTGTTGTCACAATAGGAATAATATTACCAGTACTAGCATCACCCATACTTGTAAAAAAAGAATTAGTCACACCAGGAAGACTATTATCTGTAGGAGAAGGAGTACTCATAATAGAGATACTATTACTGGTGCTATCATCATCAGACATTGTAGGTGAAAGAGAATTTGTAATAGAAGCATCATTAGTAGTGCCAGCAACATTTGTACTTGTAGGAGTATTTACCATAACTAAAGTAGTATTCATAGTATTAGTAATTTCTGAGAAAGAAGTAGCTACAATAGAAAAATTATTGCTAGTAGTATCACCACCAGTATTTGTAAAAGAAGAAACAGTTGTAATTGCAACAGTATTAGGTATAGGTATAGTAGTAGTATCATCAGTACTTGTATAAAAGGGAGTGGTCGCAATAGAAACATTAGTACTAGTGTTGGCATTAGTAGTATTTGCTGGAAAATGAGTAGTTATATTAAAAATAGTAGTATTAGCACTATCATGAGTAGTACTTGTTAGAGAAGGTGTCATGGTACTAATACTAGTATCAGTAGTACTGGTCAGAAAAGTACTTGAAATAAGAATAGTAGCAGTAGTACTAGTAGTAGTAAGACTTGTAGAAGAAAGCATAGTTCTATCAGGAACAGAAGTACGAATTATAGCATCAGAAGTACTTGATGGGAAAAGTGTGGTTATATTGGGAACAGTAGCACTGGTGCTAGCAGTAGTTGTACTCATAGGAAATGGAGTAGTTGTACCAGGAACAGCAGTACTAACTGTAAAATCAATAGCACTTGTTGTGGAAGGGGTGTTTATGATAGGAAGAGTAGCACTAATACTAGCAGTAGTGGAAATTATAGAGGATGGAGTAGTTGTATGGGGAAGAGTAGCACTAATGGTAACATCAGTGGTACTTGCTGGGAAAAGTGTGGCTGTGCTGGGAACAGTAGCACCAGTACTTATAGGGAAAGGAGTAGTTCTATCAGAAAGAGTAGTAAGAGTTGTAAAATCAGTAGTACTTGTTGGGGAAAGAGTGTTCATGATAGGACGAGTAGCACTAGTGTTAGCAGTAGTGGTACTTGTAGGAGAAGGAGTAGCTGTATCAGAAAGAGTAATAAGAGTTGTAAAATCAGTAGTACTTATTGGAGGAATGGCTGTGCTAGGAATAATAGCAGTAGTGTTAGCAGTGATAATACTTGTAGAGGATGTAGTAGTTTTATCAGAAATAGTAGTAGTAGTTGTAAAATCATTAGTACTTGGAAAAACAGTAGTTGTGCTAGGAATAGTAGCAGTAGTACTAGCAGTAGTAGTACTTGTAGGGGAAGGTATAGTTGTATTTGGAACAGTAGTACTAGTCACAACATTTATAGTACTTGTTGGGGAAGGAGTGGTTGTGCTAGGAATAGTAGCACTAGGGGTAGCAGTAGTAGTACTTGTAGGGGAAGGTGTAGTTGTATCAGGAACAGTAGGACTAATTGTAACATCAACACTACTTGGGGAAGGAATAGTTGTGCTAGGGATAGTAGCAGTACTTGTAGGGGAGGGTCTAGTTGTATGAGGAACAGTAGTACTAACTGTAACATCATTAATACTTGTTGGAGAAGGAGTACTTGCACTAGGATTAGTAGTTCTGATACTAGCATCAGCACTTGCACTAGTCTCCGAATTAGTAGCCTTAGTAGTAGTTGGAGAAGGATATGAACTCATTGGGAAGGCACTTGTCAAGGTTGGAGTAGGAACTATGGGATCACCATGAATCCAAGTAATCTCACTTAAATTTTGCAGGCTGATAATCTTGTCAATCAATTGAATAGTTAGTGTCTGCCAGAAAAGAAGAGATAAAGTGTGCATTTTAGAACTTCTTAAACATAATGTATAAGTCACATAATAAATTTCAATGTAACAAAAAATGATGCATTCGTTATTTTGCAAGAGAGTAATTAGACATAAACATTCCCTTTAGGTCACATTGATTCCAACTAGATAAATATGAAGAGATAATCTGTGTTCATAATTCCTATGATGGGATTATCTTTCTATCTGCTTAATTTAGTCAGAGCCAATTGTTCACAAATATTTACAACTGTGATTAATTCCAACATTTTTCAAAAATCTCTTTGAATTGGGTTTTAGCCTTCTTGACAGCAGGTGGTTTCATGTTTTTATCATCCCTTTCACCTACTGCAGTGCCTAGCACATAATAGGCATCTGATATGCAATACAGATTTACAAAAAGAAGGTACTGAAGGATTTTCTGCTTCATTCTTAACTAAAAGCAATTATTTGAAAAGAGTGGTTTTAAACTCAATAGTTCAGGGAAAATGTTTTAAAGTAAATACCTAGAAGAGCCTAGATGTATTTGGGTGCTCAGAGGGGCCATTTTCCAAAGTTCAGATAACATCAGAGCACCCTTTTCATCTTACAGAAAACAGAAACTATGGGTATTCATTTTCATCTTTCTAAACCATCTTCTGTGGGTTACTGGATCTATATTTAAGATTCATCTCCTGTTCTAAAGTGGGATACTTCATCTTTGGAGTTGCCCTTGGTAACTCTATTGGTACTTCATCTTTCAAAACGCTGGTTTAGTGGGTTCTGGCAGTCTCTAGTAGGGTCTGCTATTTATGTTAACCTGTTTTGTTAACCTCTGACCCTACACGACAGGTAGGATATATCAATTTGAAGATTACCACAGTGTACTGTTAATTTTCATCAATCTGTAACAACCATAAATTTGACTAGGATGTAAATAACTTCATGAATAAGGGTGTAAACCTTCAATAAATTTAGGGAATCACTCTTAACTTTGCTTTAACCTCTGTGGCAGAAATAAATGTTTTGTTATGCTAGCCTCGGAGACCAATCTCTTAAAACATAGCACAGTTTCCTGTAATCACATGGAGTGAAACTGACCCCTGAACTATATTGACAGAGGCCCACTAATGTGCATTTCACAACATGATTCAATACTCACATCTTTTCAGGAACGTATCTGTTACATATATTTATCACCTTTCTAATATATGCAAATATAACAATAATATTTTGCTATCAAAATATTGGTAATAACTTTGCAGAACAATAAAAGTAAGTTATGATATAATATTTATTTCAAACATACCTGATTATAAGGATCACTCTTGAAATTTGTCTCTATAAACTGCTGGTTGTTATAGGTGACATTGACTTGTGTCACATAAGTAGAGATCATACCCCAGATTTTAATATATCCAACTTTCAGTGGATTTGAGTTACTCAAATACTCATTGTGTATGGTCTGGATTTGCAAGACATTCTAAAAGAATTTATAAAGACAAAAAATACATAATACATAGTAGACTATGCTCCACATAAAAATGTTGAAAAAGAAACTCAAATGACTTTTATTTTATTGGTTTGCTATTTTATTTTTTAATTTTTTATTGCTATATAATAACTACATACTTATATGATACAGGTGGTATTTTGATGCATGCATACAATGTGTAATGATCACATCAGGGTATTTAGGATAACCATAGTCTCAACTGTTTATCATTGCTTTGTGTTGGAAACATGTCAAATCTTTTCTAGCTATTTTGAAATATACAATAAATTATTGTTAACTATAGTCACCCTATTGTGCGATCAAACACCAGAACTTACTCCTGCTATCTGTCTGTTCCTTTCCATTAACCAATCTCTATACAGGTCCCTTGTCAAGCCTCTGGTAACTGTCATCCTACTTTCCAAACACTTTATGAAGCATACTTACTATCTGCTACAATCACTTGATGATGCCAAAAATAAGGTTATGAAATAAACATTTCATATATAAGCATTATGAAACTTATTTTGCCTAATTATTAGTATTCTTATGATAATTTTGAAAAAAAGGCTGTCTTAAAAAAGAGGAAATTGAGGCTCTAAGAGATAAAGTGAGTAGCTAGAGACCACATAAAATGAATAGGGTTGGAATCACAAGGTGCCTATATGCACAGTACTGTACAAGTTAATACAGGCAAATAAAGAAGTTTGGCAAACAGTCTCTAGACTAAGGACAGTTTGCGAGAAATACAGAACTTGCTTAAATCATGACTGTTTAACTAGCAACACAAGGGTTAAAATAATATGAGATAAGTCATGAGGTGGTACATGATTAAGGCTCAAATGAAAATCATAGTGGGTATTTGTTATGGGTGTGAAGAGAAAGGAAAAAAGATGATGGGAACAGGGTAGTCAAGAGAAGACTTAGGAAAAGCATGTAACTTCAGCAGACCTGGGAAGATGAATAGGATTTATGTCATGGTGATATGAATAGGAAAGGGTATGGAGGGACAGGGACACATTGAACAAAAGTGCACTCACTGAGGGAGTGCAAGGGCCACAGCAGTAGGTGTTCAGTAAAGGAGAACTGCGGCTGGTAAGTATGTAAGATAGAATTATGATACCTCTATTCAATAAATCAGAGATAACTGCAATAGAGTGAAGCGACAAATTTCTCAGTTCTGATGGCAGCCATAGGAACATGTTCAATTATCATTTTTGAAGAATGAATAAGACTTTTGTGATTGATTGGGCAGTCAGAATTAAGTGAATTTTTAAAGGAGAGATATTACAAAGTAAATGTGTGTACTAAAGCTAGTTCTTATTGATTTGGGAGAGCTGGTTTTTAGATTCCCTGGTACTTTGTCAGCCAGTTGATAGCTTGAAATTGACTAAGATGGTGGAAATATTTCACTGCAGAAAACAGCAGATGCTACAGATCATTTCCCACCCTCACAAGCTGGCTCACCAGCCAGGACACCATTAGTAGTAGTTATCCCCAGGGAAAATTGGGAGCTTTCTTTTATTTCAGATCACTTATCCTTAGGGGAAAAAAATCCATCCATCAACCATCACAGAAAAGAGAATTCATTTATTATTACTTTGGAATAACAGAAAAATGAAATTTTAGAATTGGAAGTTATTCGAGGGAAATCTAATGCTTTATACTTTAAAAAAAGATTAAATAAGGTATCTTTCCTACACTGAATAACTGGTTAGTAGTAGAAATAAAACCAATATTCAAGTCTTCGAGATCAATGGCTTTGTTAAAATAATATTTTGAGAGGAAAACATATGTAAAGGCTCCAATTCAACTATTCTCAATTTAAGATCAGAGAATATGCACATTGAATTAGTATACAAAGTCTTACATTTAGTTTCCAAAAGGTAAATGCAGGATGAAGACAGCATGACCTAATAATCATATCTATAAAAATAATTTGAAGTTCTTAGTTAACCATGTATGTGCCAAACATCTGGTACAAGAGTCTAAAAAAAACAAAATGTGATAACAGTAAAAAAAAAAAAAAAAACTTATACAGTCTAGCTAAAAAGAAATGGTAGGCAATATGGAAGTCCATGCAGTCTTTTAGAAATAAAATACAAATCATATATGTGATTTTAAATTACAAATAGTCACATTTTTTAAAATTAAAAAAAACAAGAAATTAACTTCAAAACATTTTATGTAACCCAATAGATCCAAAATATTATTTCAATGCGCATTCAATATAAAAATGTCCAGTGTATGTACTCGGTATAAAATATTTATGAGATAGTTTACAACTTTTTTATATTAGAATATTTCAAATTATGCTAGTCATATTTAGAGTGCACAATAGCTACATGTGGCTAGTGGCTGTCATATTACATACTATAGCTCTAAAGTATGCTTTCAATCCTGGATGTCCTATTTTAAGAGAAATCTGGGTTAATTTGAGTCCAAATATAATAATCAGATCTGGAAACCAGTGTAAGCACAAAACAAAGAAAATGTCAAGTTAGCCTGGTGCTGTATAATTCTAAAAAAAAAAGGAAATTTTTTAGACCTCTCCGAACATTTAAAGTACTATTGTAGAAAAGAGACAATAGATTTGTGCTATACTATTCCTTAAAGTCAATAATTAAAATTATAGAGGAAGAAAATCCAGGTTTGACATAGAATAATCCTCTTCAAACTCTAATTAAAATTATATAGATTATCCATGGGATCATTTAATATGCAAAGTTGATTGCATTATCGTCTCTAGTTATTCATCCCCATCTATTCCTATCCAAATCCTTTTCCAAGCATTTTTGAATTGCCTCCTCACTCTGGAGAAGCATTCTGTCCCCCCTTCTGTCTCTGGGTTTGGCCATGTGACTTTGCTTTGCTAAAGGAAAATTAGTTGACTTGACACAAAAGGAGTTTTTAAAGAGCACTCAGGCACTTCCACTTATATTTTTACTCATTCATAATCATGAAAAGGCAATGCCCAGACCTTCCTACAAGGCCATCTTAGATCATGTCAAAATCAACTGGCTCCCCCAAATACATAAGCACAGTTAAGATTCCTCAAGCAGTTCAACAAATCCAAGGCTCACTACAAATGTATGTGAGCCAGCCAAGATCAGCCAAGTCCAGGCCCAGGTCATCTGAACCCTGAAAGCTCATGAGTTAAATAAGTGCTTACTGTTACATGCCACTGAGATTTTGAGATCATCTTTTATGCAGCATTACTGTGTAACAGAAAGATTATGTGGTATTTATCCTTCAAAATTTTATCAGCCAGAATATTTCTCAACTTCAAAAAATATGAACCCTCTTTTCCCCATATTACACAAATTTCAAGTTTCTTCTTAAAGTGATAGTATACTGAAAAATAGCTAAAATAAGGACTGTTTATTCCTTATTTTAATGCCAATATACTTGCATTATAAAAGCAAAAGAAGGACATCCTAATAAGATGTGGCATATTATATGTATACAGTTAACTGATAATGTTTAATCTGTAGCTAAGAAAGAAAATATAAAATTGAGTAAAATAGCCTTACCTGAGTTACTGTAAAGGTTGCCAAGAAATAGTTTCCATTTTCATAGGTATCTGCAGGTAATTTAAAAAAAGGAAAATAAAAGAATAAAAAACTACTTTCTGTGTCAATTGTAATCCTGTGTACAGTGAAAATATATCTCAATGGGGTCATAATTACTAATGATTATCACCTTTCTGAGGAGCACTAAAGTAGTAATCGAGGGAATATTTCACCATGTTCGTGTGGGAATATCCAAGTGGAAAGGGGTATTTTGAGCTAGAGGTTGGAAGGTTATAAATGCAAGGGAATCTGGGTTGAATTAAACATAGGTTCCACAGGTGAAGTGCAGAGGTTACTGGTTGGTTTTTCCATGCTAATATAGCAGGCACATAGCCATAACAGTTCACGTGGCTATAATGATAAAGGCTCAAAGCAGAGGAAAGTGGTTAGGAATTCAGGCTCCCAAGTCAGGTAGACATGGGGTCAAATCTTGGTTCTTGTACTTAGTAGTTGTGCAACCTCAGAAAAGTTAACATTTTATCAGCTGTAGAATGAAGATAATGGTACCTATTTAATAGCAATAAGGTATATAACATTCTGCTTATGCGAATAAGTGCACAAAATTTGCTGTTCACTATCATTAAAGTCATAATCATCTTCATCTTCATCATTCTTTTCTCCCTACACCCATTCTGCCTCTGTAGAATTTCTTATATTGATTCCTTCCTATACCTCTCTGCTCCTCCAGGTTACAAAAATGCTCCAGAGTACTCTGAATCTTTTACTTAATTCTTTCTAGGTCCATCTATCATTACATATTCTTTGTATTGCCATATGTCTCAAAAAGATAGCATTTATTTTGTCTATGACTCAACTCATAATTCAATCCTAAATTCCCACTTCTGTATTTCTTTTTTTTTTAAACCAAGTCTGATTCTTTCAAAGTCACCAGTGACATAGTATATTAAGTCTAAATATCTCTTCATGTAGTTCAGAATTTTTAGACCACTTTACATATCTCCTCCTTGAAACACTCCTTAGTTTATATCTACTTTCATATTCTCCTCATGTGGCTTCTATAAGTTATCCTATTCTTAAAAGTCAGTTTCACTTCACATTCTGTTCTTGGCCCTTCTCCACATTCTGTCACTTGCCAATATTCTAAAATATTCTTTCCCCGAACCAACTAACCCTCTTCTAAGTTTTCTAAATTACCTCCACTCTTGTGGAAAACAATTATAAAACCTATCTTCTAAAAGTTAGTCTTGGTTAGATAATGTAAGCTAAGCAAACACTACAGCCTCTTTTATCAGGTAATAAAGAATTTTTAAAGAATGGTACTCTGTTAACATGGTTATTTAAGATCATCTTTGACCTATCCATTTCATTGCCCTATGTAAGTAAAAAAAGTTTAATAAATATTCCAAGTCTGCTACAGAAAATTTAAATTAAATTTATGTTTACATGGTATCGCAGTAGTTTAAGTTTGAATTTCTAAATCTGTTTTATAAAAAAGGGTAAGCCGGGCTCGGTGGCTCAGCCTGTAATCCTGCGCCTTTGGGAGGGTGAGGTGAGTGGATTGCCTGAGCCCGCGGGTTCGAGACCCGCCTGGGCAAGGAGACCTCATCTCTATAATAAATCAAAAAATCAGCCAGGCGTCGTAGCGCATGCCTGTAACTCCGCCTACTTGGAAGGCTGAGGCGGAAGGATCGCCAGAATCCAGCAGGTCGAGGCTGTAGTGGCCAGGAGCGGCCACTGCACTCCAGTCTGGGCGACAGAGTGAGACTCCAACTCAATTAATTAATTAATTAATTAATTAATTAAAAAGGGTAAAGCGCTTCTCTGTAAAATGCAAAAGTTTGAAAGTTTCAGGGGCTATTGAGTTTTAACCTTGAGACTGAAGTATATCGTTATAGAAAGTTAAACTTTTGTAGGAAATGCCTTTATTCCTTTAAATTTTTGAAACACATTGCTTATAGGGGGTTGATTTTACATATTTATTGTGATGTCGTTAACCCACTATGACATCACTTGCCTAGTCCTAATTAGCTCATCCCATATTAAATACAAACCTCTCTAGATCCCCTTAAAACATTGATTCTCAATCAGCAGTGATTTTGGCTCTCTGAGACATTTTACAATATGTAGAGACACGTGTGGTTGTCTCAGTTAAAGAATGTGTGGTTTTGATATCAACCCAGAGAGGGTGAGGGTGCTGCTAAACATCCTATAATAATCAGCTTAGCGGCCACCACCAAATAATTGTTTAGCCCAAAATGTCAATACTGCTGAAGCTGAGAAAACTGACTTTTAAATAAGGGCCTTAAAAAAAACCCAAAAAAACCCAGAAAGTCAAAGAACTCACACTTCCTGATTTCAAAAACTGCTGCAAATCTACTGTGTCACTAAAATAGATATACAGATCAATGGAATGGGTGTGAAAATTATAAGATAAACCCTCGCATTTATGGTCTATTGATTTTTGACAAAGATTCCAAAAACATTCAATGAGGAAACAGTAGTCTTTTCATAAATGGTGCTAGGATAACTGAAATCCACATACAAAATAATAAAATTATGCCCCTACCTCACACCTTATACAAAAATTAACTCAAAAGGGAAAAAGTCACACATGTGAGAGAATAATTATGAAAATCTTAGAAGAAAACATAGCAGAAAATTTTTGTGACTTTGGATTTGGCAATTGTTATATATAACACAAAAAGCACATGTAACAAAGAGAAAAAATAGATAAATTGAGCTTCATCCCTAAAATGTAAAAGTTTGTGATTCAAAAACACAATAAAGTTAAAGTACAACCTGTTGAATGGGAAAAATATTTTAAAATAATATACCTGATAAGGGACTTGTATTAAAATATATAAAGAATACTTGCAATTCAATAATTTGACACTCTAATTTTAAAATGGGCAAGGAATATGAATGATCATTGCTCCAAAGAAAATGGACAAATGGACAAAAAAATACATGAAAGATGTTCAACAGCAACAGTAGTCAGGGAAATATAAATCAATTAAAACCAGAATAAACTACAACTTTTTACCCACTTTAATGACTATAATAAAGAAGATAGATAATACCAGATATTGATAAATCAGAACCGTCATACACTGCTGATTAAAACATAAAATTGTGCAGCCTCTATGGAAAACAGTCTGACAGTTCCTTAAAAAGTTAAACATAGAGTTACCATATAACCCCTAAATTTTGCTCCTAGTTCTTGAAAAACAGTTCTTGAAAAAATTTGTCTATTTAAGAACTTGTACTCAGATTTTCATAAATGTATTATTTATAATAGTCAAGTAGTGAAAACAACCTAAATGTATGTTAACTAATGATTGGATAAACAAAATGCAGTATATCAAAACAATGGGATACAATTCAGCTATAAAAAAGGAATTAAGTAAGTGACAAATAGTACAGCATGGATGAATTTTGAAAATATTAGCTAAGCGAAAAAAGCCAGAAATAAAATTCCATATATTGGATAATTCAGTTTTTATAAGTGCTCAATATACATAAGTGTATAGTGACAGAAAGCAGATTGGTGAATGCTTAGGGTTTAGTTGCCTAGTTCTGGGGACAATGGAGTGTCGTGGGGTGGTACTAACAGACACAGGGTTCACTTTGAGGGTAAAGACATTTTTCTAAAATTGATTGTGGTGATAGTTGCACAACTTTGTGAATATGCCAAAACCATTAAATTGTACACTTTAAATGGGTGACTTGCATAGTGTATGAATTATATCTCAATAAAGTTATTACAAAAAAGAATTTGAATTAGGACCTGGAACTGAACAAAAGAGGCATTTTTTAGAAATAAAAATATATTTTTAATAAACATGTTTCTAAATGAATAATTTTTAAATTTGGTATATAATTTCTATTTGCCATGATACTCCAAGGTTGATAGTACCATTTAATTCCTCATAAGCCTTTCAGTCATCACACCTGTATTTCTAAATTCTATATTGGCCATCACAATCAGGAGATCCCACAGGTATTTCACATTTGAAGTGTACAAAACTAGTCTCATTATCTCTTATCATTCTCCATCCATCTTCATCCCCCATGTATCATACCATGATAATGATATTACTTCCTACCCAGTTACCTGACTGAATACTTAGTCTGGTCATACATTTCAAAATAATTTGCAGTCCTTTTGGCAAGAACATCACTGAGGTGACATAGAGTTGAATATCTCATCAATGGCACTCCTATTATTTCTTTGATAAACATTTCATCTTTCACAGTCTTAATTTCAGAAAAAATATGTACTTCCCAAGAGATGAGAACATTCTAGCATATTTACTACATACAGTTCTTATATTTTAAAACATAGGGTAGTACTTTTGTAACTTTAGGGTAAGCCAAGGCACAAAAAGCACACTTCATAAAATAAAAACATAAATAAATTGATTCTTTGTCAAAATTAAGCTTTGGAGGATGAGGATTAAGATGGCAGATGAGACGCAGCTAGAGTGAGTTTCTCCCATGGAGTGAACCAAAATAGAAAGAGGGGCTCAATACTCGGAGAAGAATTAGGCCAGCAGCACAACTCATGACTCACTAGAGAAGAGACAAAATCCAGAGTACAAAGAAGAGAAAAATCAGTCAGCCTGGGTTGGAACTTCGTAAACTTGCTTGAATTACTGCACAAACCACAAGCAGCCTCTGAACACAACAGAGGAGGTGAATGAGGGGAATTCAGGAGTGCTCTTGGCATGGACTTTGAAGGTGCCCTGAGCTGCACAGGACTCCAGTTCTTCATGGGAAACTGCCTTACTCACAGCTAAGATCTGTTAAAACCCACATGAAGTGGTGCAGGAAAAAAAAAAAGCCTTGAATTGCTCCCACTGCCATTTACCAGAACTCAATTCTTGATGGTTAATATCTAGTTGGGCTGGAAGAGATTGGGGAGACTTGACTCTGATCTGCCCTGAAGGCAAATTCTGCTGCAGCAGATAGTACCTGGTTGTGGTGGGTCCCCATGAAAAAACCTGGGGCCAACCGCAATTTTACATTCTGAATGCAGACTGCCTGAGGC